CTTGCACAATCGGTGGCTGACTAAATACTTTTTTGCCCCACTGTATCTGTTTTCACTCTTGTATGCTTTTCATACAAGTTTCACACAAGACAGATACAAACTTTATAAGATTTATATACATCTTTTCCATATGGGTGTGTATCCACCAACCATGTGTTGCCATTGATGCTGAGTAAAAGAAACTGCAGTGAGAGAAACCTTTATCGACAGTGAAGGTGTAACCCCGCAATTGTCAACAATAGCGCAAGCGGAAGTAAAAAGCCATCTTCTGCTACGAATCAGGGGTAATGGTGCGAACTCAGGAATACTGTGGATAAGAAAAGACAAATCTTTGTTAGTTCCATGCGTGGAAAATTTCTTGTTCACGGCAGAAAGTACAAGTTAAAGAGCAGTAAAAGTTAAGAAAAACATAATAGAATAAGATAAAATAGAATAACAGACTTTACAACATGAATAACATACTGTATAAAATAAAATTAAACAGTAACTGTTATAGCAGGAAAAAAAAACGCACTTGGTATTGGACCTAATATTGCATACAAGGGAGACTGGGCGAAGGCTATCATGGTGTATTGGATGTTTGTGTGTGTTGCACATGTGTGGTCATCTGCGGAGACCATGTTGTAGAATCTGACAGCAGTTGGAAGGAAAAGGGAGAGAGAGAGAGATGACACCGTGGAATCAGAACAAAAAATACACAATTGTTCCAAGAGAAGGAAGACCAGGAGGCAATACAACAACAGATGCATTGCAAACTCCAAGCCACAGAGAAAAAATAGTGAAAGGCTTGAGAGTAATGTTGGATGAAGGACAAAATACACAAACACTGAAAGACAAAGAACAGCAGGAGGCAACATGCCAGCTGATGAAGTACAAAATTCAAGAAATGGAAGCGATAAATCAAGAGATGCAATGCAAGCTCCAACACATGGAAAAGAAAAATCAAGGCTTTCACGCAATGTTTGATGCAGATTGTCAAAAAAAAACTCACAAATGCTGAAAGAGAAGGAAAAGCAAGAGGCAACACAACAAGATGAAGACATAGAGAAAAAATATGAACAGCTGAGAGTGATGTTTGATGAAGCACTCAGAAGAAACACAGAGATGTTGAAAGAGAAGGAACAACTGGAAGAAACACGGAGAGAGATGCAGGATCTTCTCCACGAGTTTGACAGGAAGAATTCTGACTTGGAGGTATTTTATAATGAAGAAAAGGAGAAAAACATTGGATTTGAGCAGGAGAAACAATTGGAGACAAAATGCACAGAAATTGAGTGCAGTACCCAAGAAATGGTGACCAAAAATACACATTGGCAATAAAGTCAGTACACAAATACTGAAATGTGGGAGGAGAAACAATGTCAGGAGAAAAAACATAAATACATGCTTGAAGAAATACAGAAGAGATGTCAGAAATTACAACTAAAAATGACAACATCAAAGAAAGTACAGGATAAGAATTATAAAGAACTGGAAGAAAAACAAAGAACTTCAAGAAAAGGACCAAGAGAAGCAAGAAGCACTGAAAGAACTGGAGAAACGGTCCCACACACTGGAGCTGCAGCATGAGGAACTTTTCAGTGAGATGACCAACCTTAGTACAGAACAAGGATCTGCAGGAACGGTGCCTGAAAAAGAAGAGAAAGTGCTTTGGGCTTTTCCGGAAGAAGACTCTGCTGCTTCGTCACTTCAGCGCCTGAGCCTAAAATCTCCTAACCCTAAAAGCTGTACCTGAGAAAGAAGCCGTGACAGATAAATTGTTCCTGCCAGTTTTGAGCCAAATATCAGGTTAAAGTCAGTGATTTGAAGAGCAACAGGAACATATACAAGGAGGAGAAAATCTGACTTCATCCTCTTTGTGCTCATGTTTAAGAATTTACTAACCAAAAGCAGACGTGATACATGAACTCCATCCTGCAACCTCTGCTAA